TAAAGAGAAATCGGCGGTCGTATTTTCGCACTCATCAGAGCCTTGCCAGAAGCCCACAGGCATCCAAGAAGCTGAACACAGTCTTTCGGAGACGTGTGCACGTAGATGGTGGACCCTTGGGGAACAGCATATCCACGAGGGTGGGTGAAACACCGAGGTTCTTCAGTGAAGCTAGAAGGACGGTTCTTTCTGTATTGTAGTGTCCACATTCAAAAAATATATGCGTCAGCGTTTCTGGTTGATCGCAGTGCTCGCAGAAGGGGCTGGTTGTTTTTTTGATGCGGTGCAGGTTCACTTGCGTGTGCGCGCAGTCTGCTCTTAAGCGGTGGAGAAGAGAAGCGAACTTCCGTGTTAGGCCACGCGTACAAGCTGGGGGAGGAGGTTCATCAGACGCCACACTGGAAACGGGATGCTTGTGTTGTATCCAAGTCTTAATAGCCAATCTCGGGTCAGAGTGGCTGGGAAGGTTCAACGTCGCAGTGGGCAGTTTTAGAGCGGTTGAGGCAAGATGGTCAGCCATCTCATTTCCGGGTAAGCCAATGTGCGAAGGTATCCACTGTACTCGCAGGTTGGAGCCATGGGAGACAAGTAGGTGACCCAGCCTAATTATTTCACGAACCAAATCTGGATTGGCGCCTTTGCTGCTGAGGATATTATCGACCGCACACCGAGAGTCTGTTGCCAAAAGCCAGTTATTTGGTGGTTTCGTCGTGATGTGAAGAAGAGCCGCGTGGATTCCACTCAGCTCAGCTGTAGTCGACGACACGGCATGGTCGAACCGTCCTGACCATGAGCAGGGTTCCGATGGGATGTGGTAAGCTGCAGATGCGACATCATGAATGAAGTCGACAGAGCCATCAGTATAAATGGCCGTAAACGAGGAATGTCGAGACGTCATCACATCCTCTGTCAGGGCTCGACTAACCACACAGGGGTGTCGTGATTTTCCATGGAAACCCGGGATGTCCTCGTAGATGGTGAACGGGTGCTTGCTCCACGGGGAGTCAACTGGAGGAGAATGGACGAAGGGTATGAAGCCGAGAGCCTCAACTAGAGAGGTGCAGTGACCGCCATATTGTGAAAGATGACGCTGTTGCATGTCAGTGAACAGCGAGACACCACTGGTCGACTCAGCAAGCCGAACGAGATGTTTAAAAGCACGGTTCACAGCGTGTAAAGCTACCGGCATCTCTCGGCCCTCAATCCACGTTGCATCGATTCGGGAGTACGAGGGAAGACCAAGAGCCATTCTTATTCCGGCTCGGTGGCATCGTTCCAGCTGATCCCATAGAGATCGCGTAGGCGGCAAATATGACGCCGCATAGAGAATGCGGGAAAGGTTAAGCGCCCGGTGCACGCATAGTAGGGCTTTAGGGGTCGATCCCCACTCAAGTCCACGAAGTCGACGAATAAGAGATGTCGTCATCGCCGTCTGACGTACAAGATTCGTTACGTGCCGACGCCAACATAATCGGGAATCAAGATTGACCCCCAAGTATCGATAGCTACGCACGCGCGGTACTCGAGTCCCACATAAAGTAAGCCGCGGAAATCCATGACGAAAGGGACGGCGGGAACAAGCGAGCACCGCTGTTTTTTGCGGTGAGACGGAAAGTCCGAGGTCTTCTAGCATGTTTGCAACACGCGCGAGGGATATTTGCATGAAGGGACGTAGAATGCGTCGATCAGAGTGGGAAGCCCACAAACAGATGTCATCTGCATAGATGATAATACCACTAGGGTGTGGTGATTTATGCATGCATAAAGGTATTGTTGTCATTACGATATTAAAAAGCACTGGACTAAGGCAACTACCTTGAGGTAACCCACGCAACAGTGGATGCACGGCTCCCGTAGTCTTGCCCAAGCAAACACTAATTGTCCTGTTGCTCAGAAACTCTTGGAAATATTTTAGCATTCCTCCTGTTATGCCAAGGTGACTCAAGCAGGCAAGAACTACATCATGTGGAACCGAGTCAAAAGCTCGTTCAACATCAAGAAACACTGCCAAAGCAGTGTCTCCTCGTGAACGAGCGTCTTCCAGCGCTGATGTAAGGCTCGCAATACAGTCAGCAGTGCAGCGTCCACTTCTGAATCCCGCTATTTCAGGTGGCAGTGCTTCAATGTCGTCAAGGTACCACTGGAGACGCGTAAGCACCAAGCGTTCTAGAAGTTTCCCAGCACACGAGGTCAAAGATATTGGACGGTACGAGGACAATTCCGACGAAGGCTTGCCTCGTTTTAAAATGGGGGTTACTACAGCATGCTTCCATTCTTGCGGAAGAATGCCAGTAGTCCATGCCAAATTTAAGCGCTCGAGCAAGACGACGCGTGACTTGTCACTCAGGTTACGCAATGCTTGGTAGGTAATGCCATCAGACCCAGGAGCACTGTGGCGTTTGCATTTCCTAAGAGCCGCATCTAGTTCCGACATATTGAAAGGATGATCCATACTCTCCGGACTCCGTGCAGGACCAGTCAGTGATCGAGGATATGAAGATCCAGAAGGGCGTTGGGGTACAATGAAGCGCACCGCAAAATCATCTGCAAGTCGTGATAATTCAATGCCAGTTTTAAGACTGAGGGCGATGAACACATCTCGAGGTGTTGGAGAGCAGCCCATACCTCTCAGTACTTTGTAGATCTTTGGCTTAGGTGTACATGGAGTTAATGAAGAAGCAAACTGACGAAATTGTCGACGGCGAAGTACGCGAGTATGACGGAGTAAAGCTGACGTAACACGACGACAGTCTATCCAATGGGAGACCTTGCCAGATCGGCGCGCACGACGCTGAGTGCGGCGGCGAACAGCACGTAAGCGTACGAACTTCAAATCCGGAGACGGCTGAGATATCCTTAATGATATTTTATATGTGGATTGAACGAGACATGCGGGAATATCTTTTAATATATCCTCTGACGGCTCAAGAAAGCGAAAATTTGCGCGAAATACGTCCCAGTTGGTTACACTGTATTGACGACGTGGGAGGCGGGTCACTTCGGGTATATTCATCAAAATTGGAAGATGATCGCTTCCACGTGTGTCCGCATCCAACGACCAGTATACGTCTAGATTGGGGGAAGCGAGAGTAAGGTCCAGCACGCTAGGTTCTCCGCGATGACCAAAAAATGTAGGAGAGTCGTCATTCAGAATAATCAAATCTGTTGATTCAATCTCATCTGCGAGAGTCGTACCCCGAGGCGTCGTGCGTTTACTACCCCAGAGAGGATGATGTGCGTTAAAATCTCCGCATATAAGGAGATGACCAGGAAATTGAAGACGTAGGCTACTAATGCACTTCGCATCAAAGCGACCAGTAGGACATATATATACAGACACAATGGTCATCTTAAAGGAGCGAAATATGACCGTGCATGCTGCAAATTCAGCTGTTTCTGTACACAGATGGGACACATCTTCTGCAGCTTGCTGCACACTAGAGTGAACAAAGAGTGATGCCCGTGACGAGCTGTTAGGCGTGGCCGCCGCGCTAGGGTAATAGACATAGGGCTGAATTCGAGAGCCATGTCTGAGGCGGCATTCCGAAATTGCAAGTATAGGCACCGGCTGAGATGAAAGGTAATACTGCAACTCTGCTAATTTAGAAGTGATGCTGCGGGCGTTCCATTGTAAGATAGATGGGCAGGAAGCCATAAAAATAAAAATGAGGAGAGTAAAAACTTTCATTGCAGAAAACTTTTGACCAGGGGCTCTATAAGTGTGATAAAATTCAGGAGCTGGTTTGCCCATGGATACTGTAGAAGCGGGAGAAACTGTCGCGCTATGACCAGCATTTGGCGTACGAAGCTACCTAACGAGGAAGTGAGGGTGCTTGGATTTTGGAGGGACGGTATCGCCTCCTGTCCAACACTAAGAGGAGCTTGAGTGGTCGGGAGTACAGGTCCGGCCTGAACTGGTGGTGACGACGGTGGGGGCTCGTTTTGCAGCGCTGCTTTGTAGCTTTGTCGCACGTTGCTCTCGCCAGAGGAAACAAGGACAGGTGCTTCCCTAGGCGGAGGCTCTGTGTCCATTGGCTTCGGGGCTTCGGCGACAAGCGAGGATGGCGGGTCTTGTTTGTCTGCAATAGGTTGTTCTGCCTGGCATCGTCGGGAATGACGTCGTCTCCGTTGAAATTTTTCAGTTAGAATAGCCATCTCTGTTGCAGCTTCGGCTCGTGGAGCCGCCTGCTCGGCCGTACGTTTGTCAACTTGGGCTCGTGCTTCTGCGAAGGACACATTGTTCTCGCAGCGATAGCGACACACGGAGCGCTCAGCTTGCCAGAATGGGCACTGTTGGGATGTTGTTTCATGTGGTTTCTTGCAGTTGACGCAAAGAGTGCTCGAGCCTTTGCATTCCGTAGTTGCGTGAGCTTCTGCGCATCGGAGGCAAGTTAGCGACCGCTTACACACAGCCGCAACATGGCCAAACAAACCGCATCGGTGGCATTGGATGGGGTTGTTAACATACAAGTCGACGCCATGTCGAACCAGGCCGACGTAGACGTGCTCCGGAAGTGTAGGAGAAGCAAACTCAACACGAATAGTAGTGGACTTGCCGATGCGACGGACGTTGCGGATGCCTACTGTTGAGCGCAAAACTCCGAGTATTGCGGAGTCAGAAAGGGTGCTGTCGATGTCGCGGACAATTCCAACGCTGGAGGCCTTTCCACGAGGCTCGAAAGCACGCACTTTCATACCGCAAAGCGTAGTCTGCCCAAGAAGAGTACGTGTCGTCTGTCCATTCCGCGTGTCAATCGCTAGGAGATTCTTCCGCTTGTTAAAGCGCACCTCAATAACAGACGAAGGCACGAGCGTCTCCAGAGTGGACGTGAGGCGAACCGAAGTGATGGAGTCAATTCTTACATCTCTATCCACAGGAGTGAAAAGAACTACGAGACCGACAGTGGGCTCGGTTTGGGTGATGATAGTCTGCTCGCTAGAACCAGAGCCTTGACTTGGGCAGCGTCTCTTTGTTCCGCGGACGACATCCTGGAACGCACCTTGATTGTCGTCAGCAATTGAGCCCGAAACGCTGGCGATTTCTTCGTCGTCAGGCGGGAGCGGTTCCGCCATGGCGGCGACTAAGGACGTTGAAATTTCCATGCCTTGCCGGCTGGACTGCCGCGCAACGGGCCAGCCAGAACCTTGCAAGCCAGCAAGAACTGCTTATGATGAAGTCAGAGAAAAAAAATACTCACTGGCGATGGGCAACGTAGTATCAGTAAGCAGAGAAAATAGGAGTGTAGTATTTTGATTTGCACGAGATGGCGCTACTTGACATCTCCTTTTTAAAGTAGCCATCTCGTGCATCCATATAAAATAATAAAAAGGACAGCACGCGACGGCATGAGCCGTGCGTGATCTGCGGCCTCATCGGCCAGTGTTCGCCCCGCTCCTGAATCCGTAGGTTGTCCTTTCTTCTCGCTCCGGCGACCGTCCAGGTCCGCTCGGGGCATGTAGTTTCCCGGCTACGTCGAACGTGAGTCACCGGCGCTTGCGTCCAATGTAGCCAGGCTTTAGAGCACCGCCGCGTCGGCGCAGAATATAACATTTTGGCGACGAGGATGGGATATTTGTTTTAATATGTAGCATTTCCTCTTTTGTAACCCGGGATTCGGGAGGGGGCTTCACTCCGCGTCGCGGGTCAGTGGTTGAGGAAACCGGCGCGTAACTGTATTCATGAAATGTATTCCTTTTTGTTCCGGGTGAACGGTAGTCATATTTTGCGGAAAGGCCGCGTTTGATGAGTTTCGGGGGGAGGCATTAGGCCTAGGTTTTCAGTACGTTCCATTTTCATCGTGAGATGACTTCGTCCTCTTCATCTTCGAGCGGCCCAACGGCGTTCCCGCCGCCGGCCGTCTTTTTGGCAGTGCCCGGTCCGCCGATAGTAGCTTGGCCGGCATGGAAGCGTGCTTTTCTGACTTTTCTTGACGCGTCGGCGTTGCATCTCGTAGAACCGTTCCGAAAAAAAGCCATCCTGTTTTCGCTGTTGGGCACTGAGGGCCAGCGCATCGTGGATGCATTTCAGCTGTACGAGACGGTTGCGGTGGAGGGGACTGACGAGTTCCAGGTTTTTCTGGAGGCAGTCGAGAAGCATTTTGAGTTTTCGGGTAGTATCGCGCTTGAACGCCAGAAGCTGCGCGGTTTGTTCCAACGTCCTGGCCAGTCGGTAACTGAGTTTCTTGCCGTGTTGCGCCATCAGGCTTCGTTTTGTGCTCTGGGGAACGCCCTCGATGAAAGACTTTGCGAGGTTTTCTTGGAAGGCCTGGAGTCCAGACGCGTTCAGGATCGCGTTCTGCAGGAGTGCGAGGGCAGCGAGCTGCCAACGCTGTCGCGGGCTATCCAGATCGCTCGCCAGTACGAGCAGAGAGCGAAGACGGCCGCAAGTTTTCGGCGGCGAGAGTCGCAAGTCCCGGTCGCGGCAGAAGTCCAGCGTGTCCAGATCGAGAAACGTCAAACGGCAGCAACACAAGATGGCGGCCAAGCGTCGTCTTCTTTCATCGAGCATGGGCAAGATGGCTACAGCGGCTACCCTCCCTGGCCTCAACCTGGCTACCCCCCGTCGCAGCTTGGACCCAGGATGCCTTGGGCTCCGGTGGCCTCCGGTCACGTGCCCCGTTTTCCGGCGAGGGTGTTCCAGCCTCAGCGTGGGCGTGAGCCCGCTCCGCCTCGGACGGGTGGGATCGGAGCAGACGACGCCTGCTACTTCTGTGGACGCCGCCGTCATGATCGGGCGGTTTGCCCGGCGTCTCAAGCGACATGCTTCTTATGTGGAAAGTGGGGACACTTTGCAGTGGCGTGTCGGAGTCGTCGCCCGCCGGCGGCTGCCTTCACCTACGATCGGCGACAGGCATCGTTCCCGGTTCAAGGCCGTGGTACTCGGCGGACCTTCGCCGACAGACAGTTCAGAGGGGACCGGCCCGGCCGGGTGAACGTGGTCGGCCAGTCGCTGTCTCCTGAGGAGCTGCCAAGCGTTAGGCTGACGGAGGAACCTGTGGTCGTCGGGACGGCCGAGCGACGAGAAGGCGGCAGCATGCGTCGTGACGCCTTCATGGCCGAGATCACGGTAAATGGGACCCCTCTTCGTCTTCTTGTTGATACCGGTTCATGTGTGTCGATCCTAAATGAACGCATGTTTAACGAAGTTAACAAGCAGCGGAGGATAAAGTTACATCCGCCGTCGACGCCTCTCGTCCACTATTTGCAAGAGACCATTCCGGTACTTGGATGTTTTGTGGGACAAGTAATTTTTAAGAACCGCTGGACAACGTTGGAGTTTTACGTAACCAAGACTGGACGTTCGTTACTCGGCATCGACGCGGTCCGTGAGTTGCAACTGGTGTTGAATGGCGCTAAACATGAGTGTTTGTATGCGAATGCAGCTCACGGAGGAGGAGCATCACAGCGGGATGTGAGGCCCACGCCCAACCCGCAGCGACGACCGTTCACCGCGTCGTCCTGTCAAACATCGCAAGTCCCTGGTTCTCGACCAGCGGCAAGTTCCAGACCTTCATTTGCGGAGAACCCGTCTCCTGCTTCATCGGTCTCTGAAGAGACCACACCTAAAGTCTTCGAGGACGAGTCAAGTCCGCAACGTCATCCTGAGAGTCGAGGGCTCCATAGTCCGCAACGTCATCCTGAGAGTCGAGGGCTCCATAGTCCGCAACGTCATCCTGAGAGTCAAGGGCTCCATAGTCCGCAACGTCATCCTGAGAGTCAAGGGCTCTATCATCCACAGCGTCATCCTGAGAGTCAAGAGCTCTACAGTCCTGAGAGTCACGGACTACACGGTCCACAAGATCATCCGGGGAGTCAAGCGCCCCAAGGTATGCAGCGTCATCCAGAGAAATCCAGTCCTTCAACGAGCCTTGTTGGTGGTTCCTCGAAGCGAGACACATCCAAGTTGCCACCTGGCTTCGAAGATTTTGAACATCTTTTTAGCCCGGGGTTGGGTCTGCTGAAGAATTACTCGCACAAGGTCAAGGTGCGGCACACAGTTCCACCAGTCCAATCAAAGCTCCGTCGCCTCCCGATGACCCTAAGGGATCGGGTTTCCGAAGAAATTTTCAAGCTGGAGCGAGAGGGCGTAATTGAACGTGTCGAAGCCTCCGAGTGGGTGTCACCTATTGTTGTCGTCCGCAAGCCCGATGGCAACATCCGTATGTGTGTGGACCTACGAGCTCCGAACCAGGCCGTTGTCATTGATTCATTTCCACTTCCTTGCATCAATGAACTGTTGAACTCTCTACGGGGAGCGGCGATCTTCTCCAAGCTGGATTTGGCGTCCGCCTACCATCAAGTCCGTCTCGACCCGGTGAGTCGTGACCTCACGTCTTTCATTACCCACGAGGGGTTATTTCGCTTTAAGAGAGTTTGCTTCGGGCTGGCATCCGCACCCGCAGCTTTCCAGCAACTCATGTCCAAAATCCTAAAGGATTGTCCAGGCGTTCAGTTCTATCTGGACGATGTCATCGTTTATGGATCCACTTTGAAGGAGCACGATGAGAATCTCCGTCGTGTCTTGTCTCGAATTTCCCAAGCAGGAATGAAGCTAAACCGTAAAGGTGTTTTCCAAGTACAGGAGCTCTCATTTTTGGGACACCATCTTTCCGTGAAAGGATTAGCACCCCTGTCATCCAAGGTAGATGCGGTCCTAAATTTTGCAACTCCCTCTGATGCAGTGAAGTTAAGAGCATTTTTAGGGCTGGTAGAGTACTACAGCAAGTTCATCCCTCATTGTTCCACGGTCGTCGAACCGATGCGTCGTCTCCTACGTAAAGGAGTTCGTTTCAACTGGTCTCCGGAAGTCGAGGCCAGTTTTCAGAAAGTAAAGACTTCCATCCAAGAAGCTCCAATTTTGGCCATGTTTGACCCGACGTTGCCTATCGTCGTGGCCACAGATGCTTCTCAGTACGGTCTCGGTGCTGTTTTGCAGCAGCAGTATGGTAGCCAGCTTCGTCCTGTAGCCTTCGCGTCTCGCTCGCTAACTGATGCAGAGCGAAGGTATTCCACGGGCGAGAAGGAAGCTCTCGCATGTCTTTGGGCGTGTGAAAAGTGGCGCGTGTATCTGTGGGGAAGGTCTTTTGTCATTCGTACTGACCATCAGGCGTTGGTCACGTTGCTGTCCAACAAAGGTTCCGGAATCCGTCCTCTAAGGATCACTCGTTGGTCCTCCCGACTTCTGAATTACAATTTCAAAATGGAGTTTCAGAAGGGCGCCACCAACGTCGTTGCTGACGCGTTTTCACGGTTGCCAGTGTCTGACACTGAGGAGGGCATGAGATTCGACGAGGAAGTTGTTTCCGTCGTAATGGTTCCTTTGTCGAAAGGCGGTTTTCAACAGGCTACGGCCAATGACATAGTTCTTCCTTCAGTTATCCGCTATACTACCTCGGTTTGGCCTGAAGATAGTAAAACCAATCCAGATCTCCGGCCTTACTATCACGTCAGAGACCAACTGTCGCTGTACGACGGTATTTTGTACAAGGGAGAAAAACTTGTCGTCCCTGTCGAGTTTCGAGACCGGATCGTGGAAGTAGCACACGAAGTTCATCAGGGGATCACAAGAACCACAAGTGTGATCCGGGAACACTACTGGTGGCCGTTGATGAATGAACACATAAAGAACAAGATCCGGAACTGCACGGTGTGCCATGCTACCGACAAACCAGTGAAGGCTGCACCGGCTCCCTTGCAGCCCATCCAGTTTCCAAGTCAGCCCTGGGAAAAGCTAGGAATCGACATCGTGGGCCCGGTTGATCGTGCACCGGCCAGTCAAAGGTTTTTTTTGGTACTCATAGATTACCACTCCAAGTGGCCAGAAGTTCAAGCCACGTCTTCTGTGACTTCTGCGACTGTCATCAGCTTTTTGAAGAACGTTTTTTCACGCGAGGGACTGCCCTGCGAGATTGTGTCAGATAATGGAGTACAGTTTACCTCCCATGAATTTCAAGATTTCTTGCGTCAACATGGCATCAAACATAGGAGAACGTCATTATACCACCCCCAATGTAACGGGCAGGTGGAAAGATTTAACCGAGTCCTGAAGTCGTGCCTTCAGTTAGCTGTTGTAC